TGTTTTCTTAAGTTTTCGTGGGTATTTATATGTATGGTATTCAGCTTTGTTCGGGTATTTTCCCACGTCATTATCGTTGTGCTTTTAAAGTTGTAGCAACGTTTCAGCAGAATCTCATCTGCCATCATCAGGCAGAAGCCTATACAGAAGCCTGATGATAGCAGATGAGATTCAGCCAAAACGTTGCTACAACTTTAAAAGCACAAACATAATGACGTAGGAAAATACTCGAACAAAGCTGAATTATGGGTCTGAAGAGGAGCACTGTGGGTCAGAAAGGGGACCTGGTTTTGCTAGTGAAGAGAATTATGGGTCAGAATTATGGGTCTGAAAAGGGTCTTGCTTGTCTTGGCTCTCAGACTGATGTATATGGAACTAAATAGGTGCTTCCTTAGATTATTGATCAGATTTGTTTACTGCCCACCTCGCCTTGATAATCAGCCCTTAAGCTCTTTTAAGACTTTCAGACTAAAAACACAGCTTCTGATACATTCAGAAAGTCATCAGCTTCTAGCAGAGATCCTTTCCTAAGTTATTTTTTAAGTCACTGTTGGGATGGATGATCAACCTGCAGTGATACGTTCTGTTATTTAGAATGTAGGTTGTGCTTGAGTCTGCAAACTGAAGCTCCGGTGGCAGCATCTTTACTTTGCTTCTCGGGATCTGTCTAGGATAGGATAGGATAGGAATAGAGGAATAGGAATAGAGGAATAATAGGAATAGGAATAGAATTTGAATACAATAGAATAGAATCCGGAAGGGACCTTGGAGATCTTCTAGTCCAGCCTCCCGCTCAAGCAGAAGAACCTCAGAGTACAATCTCAGAGAAGTGGTTGTCTCAGTCTCTTTTTAAAAACCTCCAATGATGGAGCGCCCACAATTTCTGAAAGCAAGCTGTTCTTCAGGTCTATGGAGATTCTCAATCATCCAGGTCATGGTTGTCACAAAACTATTGTTGTTCATTCTCGTGCTTCATTTTCCCAAGTTTTAACAGAAAAGTTTTAACAGAGTCGGAAGGGACGTTGGAGATCTTCTAGTCCAACCCCCTGCTCAAGCAGGAAACACTATAACTATTTCAGACAAATGGCTATCCAATCCCTTTTTGAAAACCTCCAGTGATGGAGTACCCACAACTTCTGAAGGCAAGTCGTTCCACTGGTCTCACTGTTGGGAAATTTCTCCTTACTTCTAAGTTGGATCTCTCTTTAATGATCTTCCATCATTGCTTCTTGTTCTGCCTTCAGGACAAGCCAAGGCTGTCCCAACTTCTTTCCCTACTGCAGTTTTCAATTTGGTTTTCCAACCCATTGTCAACAACTGAATTTGTTGGTCTCTCTATACTTCTGGGGGCAATTTGTCTTTTAAAACAAATAATCTGAGAATGCCTTCTGTTTTCTAATTTTGACTTCACTTCCTTGGCACTTTCCTCTCAAACTTGCTCCTAGAAGGAGTGATAGAAGCAATCAAGGCCTTATTCGCTGTTGTTATTGCTATTTCTGAGATGCATTTAGTTCAGCATTCTCTTGCCTGATGTTCTCCATGTGTTTTGGTGTACAGTGTATTCCT